AGAGGGGAAAAATGAGGACCTAATGTCGGGGGGTTTAAATGGAGAGAAAATGTTTTGAGAAACGATGTACAAATGCGCTTTACACATTGATGTGTGTATGGATTGGGATAACAGTTGTATGAGCCCCTAATAAAATGTTAAAAAAGAAAAAAAAAAGAAAGTTGACTGATGGCCATGTTCAGTATAATAAAGAAAAAACCTGCTCTATAAATAACTCAGAAACAAGCATGTCTCTATAAAAATAACTAACGTGGAATAAATTATCGATCTTGTCGAAGTACAGAGATCAGTTCCATAGAGTTTTCACACGCCCATGGATACACTTGCCTCTTTCTATGCATGCTCTGGAAAGATGATACATAAAAGATACATAAAACAATGGAGTCAGACTAATAGATTAATGCAGAATAAACTTTAGAAACATACTTGTATTAAACCATATGCTGGTTCATCAAGAAGATTTTCAAAAGACTGTGAAAGACTCTTATTCTGACAATTCACAAGAAGTGTCCTTTTATCCTGTGGAGAGCTGTAAAAATAAAGAGATGTACAGAAAATATTAACATGCCACATCAATTATTAATTATCTAATAAACATACGTACTTTCAAAATAAAAAACTTTTAAATATCCAGTTCTAGAATGGCTTCCTATTAATATCAGCAAATATTTTGCAACATTTTAAATTTAGTTTCAAAACTACATGAACTAAAATACAAAATTAACCAATGTAAAGAGATCTGAAGTACATTTTTACCTTAAGTAAAGCCAAGAGCATTACGCCGTAAAGAAAACCAAATCCTCATTTAGAGTTACAGTAGAAAAGGCTTATATTTACTTTTATTGTAATAAAAATTAAAATCAAAAGAAATTAGGATTTATCAAAATACAAAATACATTCCATAGAAAAAAATGTCTTATTTTTAAACTGTTTCCAAGTTCATCTCACAATTTATATAGCAATGTAAGGTGTTAAACATACAATAACATTTTATGAATCACCAAATATGTTCATGATGATAAGCACATACATATCATCATATTTAACAAAGTTATAATATATAGCTCAATTAATAGTTTTTAATGCTTGCTTATTAAGTTCTGGAAGCAAGTCTACATTGATATATTTTCAGTAATTACAGAATGAATACAATGCTTTCCTAAGAACATCTAATTCCACATAATCAGATGAAGTGTGCCATCTTTTTATACTCACTGTATTTTCTAACTTAGTCAGTTGTAATAAAGTCACAACTTTTGTCTTTAAAATAAAAAATGAATGTTATTTTACTATCTATCTCTAGTTTATTATAAATGTTCCAGATAAGAACTTTTTAATAACACTTATCTCTTCTCAATTCTAACATAGCAGGATGTAACAGAAATGCCACCGAGATATGAAATCCAAAACATGATCTTATGCTTACAGTCAGAAAAAGCCCTCGATGTTCAGAAACAACAGAAGCTAATAAGACCCTTGGCTTTCAGTCATTTGAAGTAGGAAAAAATTAATACTTTTCAAAATGTTCAAGTTAAAAGATATTTTTCTGAACTTTTTCCTCTATGTAATATTCAATATAGAGATAAATTCTCACAAAGCATGCTTTAATAAGTCAACATTTAAGTATAGTACCAAAAAATAAATACATAAATATAGCATTAAAAAATAAATGTAGCCAAAAGAGGAATTTTTTTTTCTTTTTTCCCTAGTATAGTGCTGCTGATACTTTGGTCATTACCTTGTTTTTAACCATTCAAGTCAAAATATTTATTTTAAATCCACTAAAAGAAATGGTCATGAAAGTCTAAGCAATGGCTTTACACGCAGAGGGGAACAAATACACAACCTTCAACTATCTTGGGACAAATCATTAAGGCTCCACACCAAAAACTGCAACCCCTAAACTAGAAATGAGAAGAGGCGACTACCCAGCCAACAAGAAACTACAAATACCTATTTTAAATGAAGTCCATCGTTTTTAAAATACCCGGTGCTGTGTGGCTGGGAATAGAAGGGCCAAAGGCCTAGGAGGGAGAAAGATTAGGTAATTTAGGGTTGGTTGCTCTAAGATAAGTGGGGAGCAAGGAGAGAGGAGGAAGAAGTACAAATGGAATCGAAAGATAATGGTATTTTTTCACAAACTTTCTGATGTTCCCCTTTAAATCAGTCAAGGACCAAGTAGACCTAGTGTTTTCCCAAAACAGCACTCACAAGAAACAAGGGTTGACATTCCATAATACTGTTAAAATGTTTTTATCTACTAGAACGTCTTAATACCACACTTACTTAATATTATAAATATTATGGATTACCGCACTGATTTAATCTGTAAATATTATGGATTCATGCCAACATTATTCAAGACATTAAACTCATTACAGCAGGGAGCTAAACCCTTAATGACGCCAGCATCAGTCATTCTATTAGCACCCACTGACAGGGCGTACAGAAAACCGTGGTCTAGTACACAGCACTGGAACCAACATATATCTCTTGAAAATTCTGAAGTACTTTCCAGGATTTAGAGTGAGCTTTGCTTCAACGACCTCAGAATTCAAAATTTATAACGGTTGGACAATGTTTTGCACAGTGGTGGAGCAATTTACTATTCCACAGTGCTATTTAAAATAACTAATACATAAAGCTAAAACTAAAATATAATTCTAAATGATGCCAATATCAAAAAGGCCAAAATAGAAAGATATATAATAGTTACATCAACAAAATTACATATATATACCAAAGGGAATAATAAAAGACTGAGAATCTCATGTTGGAAATAGTTGCTACATAAACAGTTGTAATTAAGATGATACAACCACTTAGCCTCTGAAGGGAATATTTTTCTGCTGAGAGATTTATGCATTAAATATGAAAGGTCCTAATATATAAAATAATTTTAATGAAACAAAATTGGTTCGGGAATGCTAAGAAAAATCATTTGGGGCTCATTTTGTCCAATTGAATATCATGTTTAAAATGCCGTTAGGTCAAGAACACTAATAATCATCAATGAATAGAACACACATCCCCACTTTACTCCAAGTACATAAATAAACCAACTGAAAAATAATGAGCCTCAGACAGTGACTCATTGTACACTGACTGAAGGAAGAAGCAAAGCATGGCTGACCTAGCAGCTTCCTCCATCTTATAAGGCTACCTGCCCATCATCAGTACATCTGCAATCCCTGCTCAAGTGTGGTCAGGCAGGCTGTTCCTGCAAGAGGGAGGGGACCTGACCTTTGAGAAGGAGAAGTTAATTCAGTAGGGAGAGGATGAGGAGACTGTGGCCACCAATGCAGAGCACATTCTTCAATTTAGCCTCATCTGGAAAATAAACTGTAGCAGCCTGGTACTTAACATCTCTTTCAACTGATTTTGATCTCAGAGACAAGGATAAATTGAAGGTAATATTTGAAAACTTTAATTTCTTTGAACTTGTGGGTCCTCACTAACAAGAGTTTGTGATTTCTTCTAAACAATTTTCTCATGAAAGACGATACATATAAATTGGGAATAATTTTTAATATTGGGATTTATTTGGAGTATCTTTACTACTTGGATTAATTAATCTCTGATGGGCCATATGGCAAACTGTAACACAACATAATTTATGATGAGGAAAAGATTAACTCACTCAGGGCCATCAAGTCGATTCGACTCACAGGAACCCTACAGGACAGGGTAGAACTGCCCCTATGTGTTTCCCAAACTGTAACTCTTACCGGTCATAGAAAGCCTCATCTTTCTCCCTCAGAGTGCTGGCTTTTCACACCGCTGACCTCGTCATTAGCAGCCCAGTGTGTAACCCTCTAGGCCACCAGGGGAGAAAGAGAATAAGAAGTATTTATTTTCAGCCTAGAGTATGGAGGGGTCTTGGAGATAAACTACTTGATCTTCTGGTTGTGACACATTTCAAGTCCTTCAGGAAGCGAAAAAAGCAAACCCTCCTTCCCCTAGTATCACAGAATACAGAGAAGAGAAGTGGCTGGTATTAAGGGAGTGGCCTCACAAAGACAGCAGATATTTGCTCCTCCAAGACCCACAACATCCCTGCCATTTGGTTCATAAACTTAATGATGAATGACGAGGAAAGAATAAAATGGGGGGATATCAGTCTTTCTACTTATTTTCTTTTTGACCAAGGCATTGAAGGTTGAAATTAATCACACATGCTCACATCTTGTCTCACTTAGATCGCATCCTCTCTCAGAGCTTAAATTACGATACACACACTGAAGACTTACACATTGAGACACACTGAGCTCTCACAGTGCTCTACGGTTCTTATTCAGAGAACTTATCAAAGATGAAATCTTACATTTATATGTTGATTAATATTTGTGTCTCCCACAGTATTACAAGCTCCATAAGGTGTCATATCTTTTTTCATTTTTCCTACCATTCGACAGAATTGAGGGTGTTTCAGGAACTACAAGAAAGCCATGTGACTGGAAAGTAAGAGTAGTAAGATGAGGCTTCTGGAACAGAGCTAAGGCAAGACAGGTCACTGACTATAGTAAAAAGGTTAGATTTTATTTAATGTTGTATTGAGATTCCTTAATCTCCTAAAATTTGAAATTATGATCTTGATCCCTCTCTTTAAACTGGTTATCACTTTCTTGCTGTATTACAAATGTGGCATATGGAAAATGCAATGTCTAAAACTAAGGCTAGTTCTCCAAAGTGTGAACTGACCAGCAATGAACAGGAGAAATATTACTTCCTTCATCCTAAAACTATGCCATGAGCTTGTTTAGGTGCTAATACTCTTATAACACGTCCCACTCACTAGCTATAATCTTCTGCCACCATCATGTTCCTCCTAAACTCGATTTAACCCCTGGGTGGACAGCCTATTCCAAGCTGTGGCTTCAAGATCCAAGCTCTACATACCATTAAGCAGGTCTAACTTTCTTGTAAGTAGTCCTGCCGCGTACACCTAGTACCAATCAGTAGTCAACACAGTATCAGAGAGGATCTCACAGGAGAGAATGCATCGCCTTTAGAGGGATTGGGACTATCAAACGCTTGTGACATTTTAGTATTTCAAAGTGAGGATACTCAAATGATGAACTATCACCTCTACAGTGCTCACAAACCTTAATTTCCCCCCTGCTTACCTCCACATATCATTCTCTGGTTAATAACACCAAACTTCCGCTGGATGACTGTACCCTCCCAATCCCCTGTGATAATGAACTATAGCTGACCATGGAACAACTTAAGTTTGATATGCAGAGACCTATGTATATATGATTTTTTTTCCTGTTGCCATTGCAGTGAGCATTAAGTGTTGAAAGTATTGGTTTAAGAGCAGGTCTTCTCTCAGAGATGATTAGTGTGACACGTGTTTTAAGCTGATATTTGCCAAACACTTGAGCTCACTACAAGAGCAACAGGGAAAAAAATCCACACAAGAGGCCCCACGAAGCTCAAACCTATGTTGTTCAAAGGAGGAGTATCTTTTGTTCTTGATAAAATTTGTGCTCTTCCCTTTACCTACAGCCCTCCCTCTAAGGGTCTCCTTTTCTATGACACTACGCTCACGCCGATGTCAGTCTCAACTCAACATTTTAACCTTCCTGGGGGAAGTCTTCCCTAACTCCTGCTCCCCCACCCCCAGGGTGAAATAGACACCCTTCCTCAGAGCACCTTTCTCTAGTTTCTCAGTTTTAAATGTCATCTAATCTTCAGAATTCTATACAATAAACTCTCACGAGATCCACAAGCATTCCTGCCTTGTTCACTACTAAAAATCAAGCAACTTTATACTTATTATAGACAGAATGTTTGTGTGCTGTGTGCATATACAGATGCACTTTTGTAAGTAAATATAAGCACAAGACTTTGGGGGGAAATTATATATTTATAATTTTATAAAGGAATAGACTGGCTTGGCTTAAATTTTCAACATTACAAATGAAATTGTTTGACAGAAAACATAAAATAAAAGGTTTTTTGGTAAATGAATAACCCATAAATCAGTAAGGTATCTTCATCAATCTAAATGTAAAAAAATTTTAATGCTGGACTACTCTTTTGGGAAAAATAAAATAGTAATAAGGGGCTATGTCCAACATACAATTTACCAAAAGGGCAAAATTTTCTTCAGGCACTAACCAAAAGATGACAATATCCCAGAAGAAAGCAAAGCTGCTTATGCCCTCACATGCACATAGGTCACTGAGGCCCAAACACAAGTGAAAGTCGTTTGTTGTGGATGAACACAACAATCCAGTGTCAATAAGTAGAAAGTAATTTGATACTTACTCACACAACACCACATATTTTTCCAGAGAGTCAATCAGTAGTTTGCTATCTCCGTGATGAAAGTGCAGAGCAGGGAGAGTGACGTCATCCTTTAGACAGAAAACCAAATACGACCAGCCCATACCCTCTTTGTTCTGCTTGATTGATTTCAGGTCTGTCAAACTGAACAGGAATGACCATTTGCTTTTTCCATTTCTATGACTTGGAGCATCTTAAAAACAAGAAAGTGGGGGGCAAAATGGTTTTGTTCACCTTTTTTAAAGGTACTTACAGTTCTCTTTATGACTGCCTAAGAAAAAAACTGTTGAACCCGGGGAATCACTTTAACACTCATATTACTATCATCTCCAACTGTATTATAAATGACAACATATATTCCTAAAAAGATGATATGAAAAAATAAGTATTTTCCATAAACAAATTAAAAAATGTTATCCCTATTTAAAAGATAAGGTTTGCCCCAAAGTTATCAGAGCTATGGGGACAGGCAGGTGATCTGAACTGCAGCACTACCATTTTAGGGAAGAGTCTGAGACAAAGAACTGAATCTCTGAGTCTCAGTTTCTTCCTCTGTAAAATGGAAATAATTATACTTACCTCCCATTGCTATTCTAAAAATTAAATTGGATTAATCGCTCAATGAATTCATACAGCAACAGTATATAGTAAATACCCAATAGATGTTAGCCTTGCCCACTCCCTCCAAATAAGAACTATGTGATACCTTCTCAAAGTCATAAACAAAAAAATTCTCTCCAATTATTTTTACTAGAGTATTCTGAAAGTGAAGGTAAGCATACTGACATAAAAAAGTAACATTTTCATGAATATACAGGCAGAGAAATATTTTACTTGTACAAACTCAACAGTGGGGACTTGATGAAAATACAAGTGCTTCAAAACAAAATGAATGCATGCATTCTTTCTAGCAAATCAATCTTCCACTAACTTAAGGTTTCAGTTCAAGCCAAAGTACAACTGTATGAAATAAAGCTGAGTCTGTGAACCACTTATGAGTATCTGGACTGTTGATATGTAAGTTTAAAATTATAGGCTCATGAACAAGTAACTTCCAAATCATCTCAAAAGAAAGTGTTAATTTTTTCTCACTGATAGTAATACTTATATTTAATTCCTAATCTAAAATTCCAGTTTGTTTTAATGCAGACATAAATGTGTCAAGTCTTTGAATTTAAAGAAAGTTATTTGTTATTCATATGAAGTGACACACTATCCTATTACTCTAGATCATTAATTCTGTCCCACATTTATCAATTTTATAAAGATAAGCTAAATACGACCTGCTCAAAAGACAGATCAATTGATGTTGACCTGCATGTGTGTCACCCTTCTCCAACAAGATCTTCTAAGCCAGCAGACTGAAATCTATAGCTTACAGAAGCATCCACTATTTCAGAGACAGTTCAACAATTATCATTTAAAAGGAAGTCCAGACAAGTTAAAGTAACTAACCTATTTATACACTGACCTAACTTCTGTACCATTCCAAATGATGAACTCAGATCTAAGGCTGGTTCTAGATTATGTGCCACATGCCCATTTGCCTAAATTACATCACATTCACTGGTATTTATATTATAAAGCTCATAAGACCACTAACAAGGTATTTGCAAAGGGAAATCAATTTTAAGTTCCAATCTCTCAATAAATCATTTAAGTGTGATTGCTCTTGGACAACCTAGAAAAGGTAACTAAAATTTGAAAATAAATACTACTAGAATATTTGCCAAGATGGAGAACATCTTAACAGCTAACCAGCAAGAAAACTAGGTACTGACCACCGTTAAATTCTTAAATTGTCTAAAATGTATTTAATCTAAAATTAGTAAAAGAAATCATATGAAAATATTAAATATAAATATACGTATATTAAATATTAAGTAAAATATTAAATAGAGGCTATGTGAATTATCAGGAGTTTGTGGCCGATAATTTTCAGTTTTCCTTCACTGAAGAATATAAGATAGTTCATATTAAATGCAAATGAAAATGCTTCACATACTTCAGTGCTTAAAACTGATACGCAACAATACATTACAAAAACTTCTACAAGTCCTTCCAGTGGAATAAAAGCTTCATGAGAACAGGAACTTTTATTTGTTCACATTTACATCTCCATAGCTAGAAGAAGCCTAGCACATAATGAGACTCCAAGATGTACTGAATACATAGCCTACTTTAGTCAGGAGCTGTGGTGGCAGGGTGGTTACAGGGCTCAGTTACGAACCAAAAGGTCAGTGGTATGACCTCACCAGTAGCTCTGCCAGAGAAAGATGTGGCAGTCCACTTTGATAAAACATTTACAGTCATGGTAACCCGATGGGGCCTGTCACCTCTGCCCTTAGGGGTACTGTGATTCAAGTTGACACAACACCAAAGGGGAGCATCAAGTCAACACAAAAGTAGTCTACCATTTAGTCTGTTAAGAATAGTTAACCAGAACAGAAATGGGTCCAAGTGTTAAAGAAAATGTCCCTTCCTTCTCCTTAAAAAAAAAAAAAAGCATAAGTAATTCCAGAAATTTAAGTATCTCTAGCATATTAACAGGAGAAAAGAGAATTTTGTGGCTTGGATAAAGTGGAACAGAATAGTTCACTAAGTCTCAATGTCTTGAATAGTTAACATGAGAGATAAGATATTTAGATGGATTCTGCAACAGGATGGCAGTCTGTGGTTCTGAGAATATTTTCAAAACATCTTATCTGCTATATAAAAGCATAAAATGCTTATGAAACACACAGGTAAATTGTTTATAAAATATAAAATTAAAGTAAGTCTACAATAGTCTATTTTTTTTCCAATAGTCTATTTTTAATGGTGTATTTCATCTCTGTGACTCACCAAAAAAAGATAATTACAAATATGTTTTTAATGTGGTAATTATTAAACATTAAAAGTTGAAACCGTGTCATCAAGCAAATTTTAACTCATAGGACAAGGTAGAATTGCCCCATATGTTCCCACAGATGTAGTGTTTCCAAGGCTGTAAAATTTATAGATGGAGGCCAGCTGGTGTAGTGGTTATGTGCTGGGCCGTGATCCACTTGGTCGGCAGTTCAAAACCACCAGCAGCTCTGCTGGAGAATGACTGGGCTTTCTACTCCCATAAACAGTTAGAGTCTCAGAAGCCCATAGGGGGTTGCTATGAGTTACCATTGACTCAATGTCAGCATGAATCTTTATGGAGGCAGATTGCCACATCTTTCCCTAAGGATCAGCTGGTGGTTTCAAATTGCCAACCTTTCAGTTAGAAGCTGAGTAATTAAATCACTTTACCACTCGGGCTCCTTCAACATTATTAGATAGGGAAAAAACTTAAAAGTTTCATCGTAGCATAAATTTGACTTCTGAAACTTCAAGCTAACTTAGAAAATGTGTCCTTAAGTTTTTAATAATTAGAAATAAAGCCTTTTCGCTTGTAAAAGTCACTGTGTACAGCAAACAACATAAATAGTACTTAAGTTTGCTAAGCTGCACAGCAAAACAAAGGCTCTCAACCCTGACTGCACATTAAAAACAGATGTCCATGTTCATCTCCAGAGTCTAATTTCATTGGCTAGGGAAAACGCAGGTACAAGTAGTTCTTTAAAAGCCTTCCTAAGTGAGTTCAACTAAGGAAGATGGTAAAGCAATCATTATTGTCAGATAATACTTTTCTCAATGTAAAATTTGCCCTTTCACGAAAACTCACCTCTTTCGCTCATTGCAATAGCCATTCATCTTTCATTTTCAAGAATCTAGCTATATTAGGGAACAACAAAAAACGGCAATTCACATAAACCAATCTAGAGGTTCTAGTTTAGAGAAGAAAAAAAACCCACCACTTAATCTGCTACATATACTAAAATCCTGTGGGTTTTTTAGTTGGTTTTTTGGCTTTAATATTTGGCACTACTCTAAGTTAAAGACTTTCCTTCTCAGTATTAAGGAAATGTAAAAAAGGGGGGGAAAGTAGTAAGACACACACATGAATGAGCTAATTGTTGGCAGAAGCTTGTGAATTACTACTTATTCTAATTGCCACTGTTTCCTAGAAATGATTAATGACTACATGTGAAATGACTTCGGAAGCCAAAAATGAAAACCAACTTTACTCAATAATTCTATATATATATATATGTGGCAATACACGTTCCAATAAATTTTGGCCAGTTTTTTCATCTGATTAAATTGAACATAATTCCTAAATCTAAACCCAAAAATGTTGAGGAAAATATACTTTGTTATATAACACAAAGAAATAATTTTTAATTAGAATTAAGCCTAAGGTTTTCACTCTATACAAGTACTCAATATTTAAAAAAACACACACACAGAGGTTGTCCACAACAAAGATAGTCACCAACTCATACAAAGGAAAATATGTAAGTTACTGTATACAAATAACATCTCTCATGTCAGGGGTCCTCAAACTGCGGCCCACAGAGGACATTTATCTGGCCCGCCGGGTGCTTTTGCCCCATTTTGTTTTTTCACTTCAAAATAAGACATGTGCAGTGTTCATAGGAATTTATTCAGTTTTGTTTTGTTTTTAACTATGGTCCAGCCCTCCGACGGTCTGAGGGACAGTGAACTGGCCCCCTATTTAAAATTTGAGGACCCCTGTCTTATGTGAATAAACTAGTACAGCCGTGTCAGGCTGGTCTTTTCTACTAACTACATGTAGATCACCACCACTTAACAACTATAAATTTAAGTAAACAAGCAGAGAAAGGTGAGCCTAGTAAGAGAATATATGTAAAGGGTAGACTGCAATGAGTGGTGAAAACCCCAGGAAGCACTAAAACTAGAATGCTAAGGTTCAGCTCTATTCGCCATCTCCCTCTGGAGCTTTAAGATGAAATAACATGATTTTATCTTTTAATTATACTACATAAAGAAAAATGCACATGAAGGAGAGCGAAATATTTTTAAACGTGTTTCTATTTTCCATCATTAATAGCTACTAAATAGAACAAGCATTTTTAAAGTTACCACTAACAATTATAACCAAAAACAGATGAAAGGGACTGTAATGGAAAAACATGGTAGTTACATATATTAATTAAAGCACCAAATCACTCTCTTCTTACAAAAGAAAATGCAAGCATTTTCTTTGCACTTTTATTTATTAATATGTTGTAGCAAATTAGTTTAAAATTTTGAAGGATTCAGTTCATACCTCCATTGGTATGTGCCTTCTTTTTAAAGGAAACTGTGTTAACCATGTCCCACTCAGCTTCGTAACTGTTCAGATGTTCCGGTCCTCGATGAGCTCTTTCTTTTGGAGACTGAGTCCATTCTACAACTGAACTGGAGTCCTAAATAATTATAACATAAAATAGTTAAGGTGTAGATTGAACCATTGAGTTATATGACATGTGAATTTTATGCCAATGAAACAGTTGGTAAGAAAATATTTAAAATCCAAATCTAGAATTTCTTCCAATCCATATTATCTCAGATTCTATATAAACTAAGTCGTTAGCAACATATGTAACAGACGATGCTAGTGGGAAATCTGAACACCTTTTCCTCTACTTTTCCCCTTTGCCACCTTTACCAAAAAGAACAAGAAAGCTTTTCAAATCTCCTCGGTAGTGAGGGCTGACCAAAAAATGAACAGAAATCAACAGTGGGAATTCTAGATATATTTCTGTTTTCCTAATAAAGTCTTAATTCCATTCCCTTTTTCTGCTGCTTTGAATGTAGCTGTGATGCCTAAAAATATGGCAGCTATTTATGACAAGGAGAGAAAAGACAAGAGAGCCATTGCAAACAGCTCTAAACCTCCATGTTTCTGGTTATTTGAGGGAAATAGCGAATTGTGACTAATCAGTTAAATCACCATTTGTTGTATATTCTCTTATTGTCAATCAAAAGACAATCAGTCAATTCAGAGCAAGGATTTTTAAAAGTCTAAAATTTTCTTTGCTCCCATAAAGAGCAAGCTACAAGAGCTCCTTCAACACAAGGAAGTCATCCAAAATGAAAGCAACATGAGATACAAGAAACTCAAAAAACAGTGTCACTGACTCAACTCCAACTCACAGTGGCCTATCGGCCGGAATGGAACTGTTCCTTAGGGTTTCCAAGACTGTAAATCTTTTCAGCGGCAAAGAGCCTCACCTTTCTCCTGTGGGGCAACAGGTGGATTGGAATCACTGAACTTCCAATTAGTAGTTCAATGCTTAATCCATCGAGTCCCCAGGCCTCTTTGTACAGGAAACCAAAAATCCAACCAAACTCCCTGCCACCAAGTCAATTCTGACTCACTGCAACCCTTTATGACAGCAAAACTGCCCCTGTGAGTTTCCAACACCGTAGCTCTTTGCAGGAGTCGAAAGCCTTGTTTTCCTCCCAGGAAATGAGGCTTAAATTAAGGCAAAGAGGCAAAAAGGAAACCCTAGGATGGCTGTTACATAATAAACCACGACAGCAACTAGTCCAGACTAAGGCTGGTCTCAAGGCTCTGAGAGAAATGCCTCTAAGAATATAATTAACATGTAAATGTTTTGAGTGAAAATTTAGAGGTGAATGAGAGTTAAAATGGCACTACAGACAGTGACTGGTTATCAGAAAGAATAACTGAAAGAGTAAAAGCATTAAAAAAAAGGAACAGCTGATGGAGTCTTAAAGGCTTATCTCAAAACAAACAGCCATCAGAGTGAGGCACCAACTAGGTCCACGTGTGTGGGGGGAGGTCAGGTGCTTACAGACATCCTCCCTGAAAGCAGTTAGTCACCAGACTACAAGGTAGGCGCCTTGTTCAAGGACAATGGAGGACAGGCCCGCTGTCATCGATTTGGTTCCTGTAGGTGGAGTTCACACCCTACTGATAATTGTGTCTACCAGTTGAGCCAGGGAACAGGTCAAACTGGCTCTGACACATCCAAAGTTAGGCTGCCATCCTGTATCTAGGATCCGCCCATCTTGCCACATGTATACCCCCAATCCCTCCTCTTCCTATTGTGTGGATACCCTAGATCACCCCCTCCCATTATTGTATTACCTATATATAGCACAGCCCCTTCCTGTGATGTGGGTCTTCACCTGTAATTAGGGGGCTTGCAAGTCCCCAGAGAATATAAAAGCCTTGGTTAGCATTAAATATCTCTCCACGTGGACCACCAAGCGGGGCTGAGACGAGCATTGCTACATGAACTGTGTCTGACTCCATTATTTCAATATTCCTCTTCCATCTCTCATGCTATGACTTTACTATAATCTTTACTTATTATCGCTGTACAATTAAGTCTACTGGACCCATAATGATATGCTAGGCGCTGGCTTCCCTTGCATATGGCGCCCATTATGTGTGGCCTTGTAGGAAAAGAACTATTTTGAGTTATATCCCATGTAACAATTGTACAGCCTCATTGGACAGTGAGGGTGAATCGGGAAAAATATTTTTGAGTTTATTTTTTTAAGTGTGGTTTTTTTTTTTAGTCCAAGTGAGATATGGGTCAGGCAAAGAGCAAGGATACAGAGTACAGTATCACTCTTTGCCATCTCTTGAAGAAACAAAATGTAGTGGTAACGAATAAGAGAATGAAAGAGTTTTTTCAAGTGGTAAAGAAATTTAATCCTTCTTTTCCAGAGTCAGGAACCTTTGATATAGAGATCTGGGATAAGGTAGCCATTAACTTAAGAAAAGCTCACAGGGAAGGATAGAGCACACCCATAGAGGCCTGGGAGCTGTGGGTGCAGATTAAAAGAGTGTTGGAGCCGCTGCAGGGTGAGAGAGCAAATGAACAAGATCAGCAGAGCAGAGAGAAACCTCTAAGCTGCGCAGACTTGAGTCAGGTGAGAAACAGGCAGAATGAGTGTCAGGCAGATGAGAATATTTTAGATGTAGCTGAGAAAACGAAGTTTCAATCAGGACATAGCAGAGTAGAAGCATCTGCCCCGCCAGAGTATAGTGCAAGGAATCACAATACTATCAGGCAAGCCAGTGCTGGAGGAGAAGAGATTAGATCCAAAGAAATGCAAATAAAGAGGTTTAACGGTGATGCTGGGAAAGTGAGAAGCAAAGAGTCAGGGAGTAGGAAGGCACCTATGCTCTCACAAGTGGAGAAGAGTATAGCTCAAGAAGCAGATTTAGAATTCAGAATGGCTTATCCCTTTACAATTATAGACAGGGAGCCTGACGAGCAGGACCCCGAAGGGAATCAAGAACGGCGATATACTGCCTTTCCCTTTAAACTACTGAAAGATCTCAAACAAGCAGTAGCTAGTTATGGTCCAGATTCACCATTTGTAATTGGTATGGTCAAGTCTATGGCAGATACGGAATATTGGATCCCGGCAGACTTGAAAGCTTTGACGAAAGTGTGTTTTTCCCCTTCAGAATCTTTGCAATATTAGATGCTATGGAATGAAGCAGCCCTTGCACAAGCACTCAAAAATGCAGAAGAGGGCATAGTTATAGGAGTTCATCAGTTGCTAGATGAGAATTACATCACAATTGAGGCACAATTAAACTTTGATGAGCAGACTTTTGCACAGGTACGGGAAGTCTGTCTAAAGGCCTGGGAGAAATGAATACCATCAGGAAGCAGTCGGCCAGGTTACATGACCGTAAAGCAAAGGAATGATGAGCCTTATATAGATTTCATATCCAGGTTGCAGGATGCTGTCCACAAAAATGTGGTGGACAAAGGGGCAGCGGATAATCTTATTCTTACGTTAGCATCTGAGAACTCAAATACATCATGTCAAGCTGCCATACGCCCTTTCAAGGAACAGAGCATGCTGTTAGATTATATCAGGATATGCAGGGATGTAGGATCAGATGAGCACAGGGCCAACCTCATGGCTGCTGCTTTAGCAAATTGCATCAGATCTAAAGGGAGATGCTTTACATGTGGAGCTGAGGGACATTATCAGAGAGACTGTAGGCAGGTATTACAAAAGAACAGGGCAATTCACAGCGGAAAAGACCCAGGGAAAGAGTCTGAGCAAACTGGACTTTGCCCCTGCTGCGACAGAAGTAGTCACTGGGCAGAGCATTGTCATATAAAGTTTAGCAATAGAGGACATTTACCTGGAAGTAAGGCCCAGCCAAAAAACGTGTAGCGGGGCGTGCTCCAAGCCCCTTTGAACAGAGCGCAGGTCATAGAGGAAGGAGCTTGATACAGACCCCGCCCAGCAGAACATGGGAGGCAAGGTGTCTGCCTGCCAGAGCAAAGCTTTTAGAGAGAAACTGCAGGCATCCCCTAGCTCACAGTAGGAGACCAGATCTAGGCAAACGGGCAAAAGCCCAGCCCCTGTTCCGGCTGCAATAACCTTGATTAACCAAGAGAAGGCTCAGAAACTCACAGCAGTTTGCTGATTCTAAAAAGCAGGAGCCTCTTACTGAAGAGTAATACAGTTTTTATCAGGAAGTTTTAACCTAAGTACTCAAGGAATTAAAATTGATACTGGAGTGAATCAGAATTGTAAGTAAAAGCCTAAAGCTGTGATTAAATCAGAAATTATTAAGAACGGCTATGGAAGTCCACTACCAAAAATAACTATAGGATGTTTATTAGGAAAGTCCAACCTAAATTCTCAAGGTACTCAGATTATTGCTGGAATTATTGATCAGGATTATGAAGAAATTAAGGCAGTAATAAAATCTGATATACCATAGTTTATTAAAAAGGAAGATCGCTTAAGCCAATTTTTTTCTTCCTTGCATTCCTAGAGTAAAAATATATGCCTATCAGGAAAGAGTACTTGAGAAGTCTGACCTCCCTTTAAATCAAGGGGTCTTTTGGAATGCTGTTGTGGGGAAACAACAGCGGCCCCACGTGGAATTAGAAATTGGAGGAAAAAGGTTTTTAAACTTTGGATGCAGGGTCATTTCTCTCGGGCAATCAGGAGGGCCTAAGACCTGCCCATTAACTGCCTCTAAATCCAACATGGAAGGAGTGAGAGAAGTTAACCAAGACAGTATATTGCAAGAAGGTAAAATCATAAAGTGTAAAGAGCCTGTAACCTTATTGGTAAGCCTGGAGAAAAAAAGGTCTGCATGGTAAGTTACTTCAAGAACAGTTGAACAAATTTATTAAGAATTTTTTCAGTCTTTCAAAGTATGGTAAGAAGTTCTCCCAATTAGTCAGCTCTCTTAATTTCTTCCCGCCATGGTGGGAAGAAATAGGGCCAAAGAGGAATGTCTGCTTCTATAGAGAGAATGAATTAACCATGTGCTCACTTTAAGGCAGCACAGCTTTAAGGGAGAAACTGTGGAAATGATAGACAACCACAGGAACATATACTCAGACTATTATCTCCAACTACCAGAGTGGCAGTCTTCCTGCCATGGTATACTAGTCTTCCAGATTCCCTCCGTAACAGTCAGGGATTGAGTCCCAGTTTTATTTCCCTCAGTGCTAGTATCCCACATAGAAGGAACATACCATCCTATGTGATCCAAGGATTATAAATAATAAAATCTAAATCCAGAGGGAACAGTATCAAGAGTTTCAATTCTGAATACCCAGTTTGCAGAAGGCCATGGATGACAGTGGAAGCCCAAATCCATTTGCAGCATTCCCTATGAAGATTGAGTCTCTGACCATAGTTCAGAGATGGGAATAGTCTAGTCATTAGATAGAGAACATTATCAAGTCAATTATGGCTGATGTAGTTAGTTAAAAATCTAAGATCTTATTTGATCCATTTTTAATTTGTTCCAATTTTTAATAATTATGCTTTCTTTTCAATTGTGGTTTTTCTGTTTTATTTTGTCATGACCTACGGCCATGGCAGCAGAGGTTGGGGGGAAATGAGGAGCTAACAACAATGAGTACAAGAAAGAAGAAAATGTTCTAAACTGTGGTAAAGATTGTAGAGCTCTTCTTAATATGATTGAACAACTAAATTATATATGTGAATCATATGCCATTAAAAAAATTTAATCAAGTTCTATCTCCCTTCTCTAGTGAAATGTCAACACAGTACCTAAATTAAAAATAAAAATAAAATAGTAGCATTAGAAGAATGTTAATCAGACATAGAGCTTTAAATTCCAAAGAAAAAGCTACAGGGTTTGATTGCTGACTGCCTGAAATAATGAAAAATTTGGTCAGAAAAATACCTGCTTTTCATAATAAGCCTTGTAAAACTTAGATGACTTCTGTAGAAAATGTCTAGTTTGGATAAATAAAAATTCTATTAAATATTTATTTTACAGATTTTTGAAAGAAAATATTAAGACAGGGATGTATGTGAAGAGCGAAAGTACAGCAAATTGGAAGTACAACTATTCAATAAAAATTGTGTTTCCATTATAAAACTTGCCCTATTATATTCATTCCAGTATTTCACATATATAGAAAAGTTAACTCAAAATGGATCACAGATCTAAGTGTCAGAGCTAACGCTATAAAAGTTTCAGGAGAAACATGGATGTAAATCGCTGTAGCCTTGGTTATAAAGGCAACGGTTTCTTAGATGTGACACCAAGAGCACAAGCCACAAACCACCAAGAAAACAGAAAGACGACCCACAAAGGGAGAAAAAATATTTGGAAATCACACATTTGACAAGGGACTTATATCCAAAATATACAAAGAACTCTTGTAACCCAGCAATAAAGGCAAATAATTAAATGAGCAAAGAAGTTAAAACCAGCATTTCTCCATAAGAAGATATACAAATGAAATGGACAAGAATCACATGAAAAAATGTCTAACATCTTAAGTCACTGGGGAAATGCAAACCAAAACCACTTGAGATAACATTTCATACCCACTAGGTTGATGAAAATAAAAAAGACAACATTGATGAGAATATGGGAAAACTGGAATACTCAAACCGTGCTGGTGGAATTAATTATAACATGGTGCAGCTGATTTGGAAAAATGTTTCATGGCTTCTCAAATGTTAAACATAAAGAGTTAAACACCATGAAGCAATCCCACTTTTAAGTATACACCTAGTAGAAATTCAAACAAAGGTCCTCACAAAAACTTGTACGTATGTATTTATTCATAATAGTTCAAAATTAGAAACACAAATGCTCATCAACTGATAAATGGATGTTATATCCATAAATGGAATGTCATTCCACAACAAAATGAAGTTCTAATACATGCTGTATTAAAAACATTGGAACACTGAAAACATGCTAGGTGAAAGAAGTCAACCACACAAGAATACATCTTATATAATTCCATTATATGAAATGCACCAGACAAATCCTTAGGTGGATTAGTGGTTATCAGGGGCTGGGGATAGGGTGAGAGAGGAGTAACATCTAATGATACAGAGTTGCTTTTTGAGAGTAATGAAAATATTCTAAAATTAACATCAATCATGATTGCACAACTCTCAAACTATAATTTTACATTGACCAGTATGTTTTAGAGTGAATTTTATGGTATATGAATTATATCTCAATAAAATCAAACCAAATCTGCTATCACAGAATGATTCCAACTCCTCGCGACGCTCCAGGACAGAGTAAAGCTGTCCTGTGGGGTTTCTGAAGCTGGAGCTGGTATGAAGAGTCACATCTTCCTTTGGCAGAGGGGCTAGTAAGTGCACACCACCAGTCTTTCGAGTTGGCAGCCCAGCATCTAACCCACTGTGCCAGGAGGCTCTCTAGATCTCAATAAAGCTGCTAGGTTTTTAAGCGGCATTCCTTTAGTCACATAGTCTTTCTTAAATACCTTTCCAGCATAGAGCATGCTAGAAGAATCTAATGCATCATCCAGGGGTCTCCAGTCCACTATTACTTCAGACTCCTAAGGAAAAAAATTATGAATCGTATTTATTATTAGTATCTTACATTCTTAGTCACATTTCAATTCCCAAAACTAAAATGATAAACACTTAAACATTAGCACTTTAAAAAAATATTCTACGTAAATCCTTTGTCACAACAAATGTTATATATATTTTAAACTCTCAAACTTTTCATTACAAAGTTATAATACAACTTCTAGAAGTTGTTTTAAAATATTGCATGCCATTTTACCATATATACTTGAGTATAAGCCGATTTTTTCAGCAGTTTTTGTAATAAAATTAGGTTCCTTGGTAGATTTTCGGGTTGGCTTATACCAGAGTATATATAGTATTCATCTATTCAAAGCAGTAAATCTCAAAACCATTCCCATATTATATTTAAAAACACTTTTCAATTATAAAATCTTGTAGATGAGATTAAAATTTTCTGATTATACTTCAAGGATGAACCACTATCATAAACATTTATTAAATGAAACCATTTACTTAAAACATACCTTTTCTAAAACACGTAATATTCCCGAAATAAAGTTGTCATGATCATTAGTCTTTCCACAAGATGAGTGAATATATACTCCTTCTTGTTCATATATAATCTGGAACAGCAAAATAAAATTGATATAGAGTTAATTTCACTCAGTACTATTTCTACCTTCATTTTTAAAAAAGAGGATATTAACTTACAATTCCTAGTCAAGCTGCCGGTGATTTCATATATAAAGGTATTCTTTTATAAACATCTATCAAACTAAAATGCATTTCAAATAAAAGTAAACTGAAAGTTTGCTTTGTTACTCATCAAAGTTTGTTTTTCTAATTACTAATAAGTGCAATCTTGACCTTTCAAGAATGATCATAAAGATGTCAAGCAAACTCTTATTTGTCTTAATATTCAAATTCCACTTAAAATATATTTCTTTAACAAACAATATGCAAAATGGGTTAACCCTGAAAATGAAAATAGCCAAACGTGATTTTCTGCATGAGTTTTGCTTTACATTAAAAATTTTTAACTAACTGATGACAAACTCAAAATATAAAGTTTTAAATAAGAATTTAAACCCAGTAAGAGGCCTGGTAAGGATTGATCAAGGGCAATGTAACCAACAGGAATTACTGAAACCCAAATGAAGGCTGAACATGATAGTGGGACAAGAAGAAAGTAAAAGGAAATAGAGGAAAGAACTAGGAGGCAAAGGGTATTTATGGAGGTTTAAATACAGGCATGTACATATGTACATATATATAGGATGGTGTGTTAATCAACCCTGGTGGCAGAGGAGTCTATACACATGGCTGTTAACCATCAAGGGTGTGTTAAAAGAAATAATACAAATGAGATAGGCCCTACATTTGCCCCACCTTACTCCCATGAGGGAGTTGAGAGAGAAAACTCTGGAAGCACTTACAATCTCCCTGGGTATAGAAGATAAGTGTTTGGACAGAGTACTCCTAGTGATCTTGCCTTAAGGGAGGGGGCGAGAAAGGAGAAAAGACACACATAATTAAATACTGTGTTGATACCATACATTCCCAAACTTTTTTTGGCCTACCACCCCTTTTCAGAAAAAAAATTAGCACCCCTCGCCAATTAAAAACTTTTGTACTACAGCCCATAAGCCAGGATACAGTAAATCTAGGTAGATACTTTTGTAGGACCCTCTGGATCAGTGTCCCCCAGGGGGTAATTTCACACACTTAGAGAAACACTGGCTAGTAAACAAACAAAAAAACAAAATCACTGCCATTGAGTCAATGCCAACACAACAACCCTACAGGACAGGGTAAGTACTGCCCCTGGGAGTTTCTGAGACTGTACCTCTTTATAGTAGTTAGAAAGTCCTACAAAGTGGATACTGTGTTCCAACTTTAGACTTCCCAAACTCCACTATGCCACCAGGGCTCCTTTTATACCATCTAACAAAGTTTAAAAGTAGGACTCAAAAGTGTCAAAATGTTTCCAAGTACTTAAGCACCCTAGGACAAAGGCCAAAAATATTTTATAGAAATACAAAATGTCTAGCACCCAGCAAGATTAAATTCCTAATTTCTAGCATACAGTAAAGAATGGCACAGGTATAGAAAAAGAAAGGAAAATATAAGCAATAATGAAAAGCCCTGATTAATCAAAAATGTCTCCAAAATGACAAAATTTATAAAATTAATAGCTCAAAACCCATTGTCATCAAGTAGATTCTAACTCACAACTCCCCCAAACAGGGTTTCTGAGGCTATAAATCTTTAAGGGAAGAGATAGCCTCATCTTTCTCCCATAGAGCCACTGGTAGGTTTGACCTGCCAACCTTGTAACTATCAGTCCAAGATAGAAAAAAAAGCTAGACAAAAGTTGGAACTTGTTAATAGAAGGTATAGAAAATACTAAAAAGACCTCACTGAACATCTAAATAAGAAACCGACAATGTTAAGATGAAAAATACATTGGGTAGGATAAACAACAGACTAAACACTATAGAATAGTGCATTTGAGCTTTTGGGAAAATAAGGGAACAGAGTACCAATGAGCTGTAGGAAAACCCAGATATGTATGTGTGTCTGTTTTATGAAGCACGCATAAAAAAGATACAAAAGTAAAATATATGAGAAAACGATACAAGAACCAGGATTAAAATATTGTTCTAGATTCTTATACTCTCTATATTGTGTAGTAAATTGTGTAAGTAATTGAAAGTCATTTGTGTAAGTAAATTTTTTATAATATGAACTCAAGCTATAGTTCTCAAAGTGGGAGGTACCAACCGCTGGGGGGAGCTGAAGCAACCCAGGAGTACTACAAGAGCAGATACCTACACTTTATCCTGGGTTACGGGTGATAGTATAAAAGTTGTTAACTGTCACAGGGACATGGTGGTTTTTGTTTTTCTGTAAAGGAGGAAGTAGGACAAATAAGTTTGGGAACCTATGATCTAATCACTTAGGTAACAAAGAGTTATAAATAAAAAGGTAACAAGGGAATGCAAATGAAATTCTATAGCGAAATATGCTCGAGTAATCACAAAGAAGGAAGAAAAGAAAATATAAGACAAACAACATGTTGACAACTTACTCAAATCAGACATCATGTTAAATCTAATCTGAAGAACTAAAGAAGCCAACTAAGAGGAACAGATTGTCAGACTGGACTTTTTAAAAAAATCTAATGCTATGCTTCCTAAAATAAAGACATACTAAATATTAAGACACAAACAGGTTTAAAATAAAAAGTTGGCAAATATATCATGCTAACGCTAATAAAGTAAAACTTGAATATGTTAATTCCAAGGGAAAAAAATTCTATGAAGTATAAAGATCATTTCATAACGTCAACTTGAGAGACAGAAAAATTAAGTACAGACACAGAGCACTTAACATTGTCACCCATCCTACCTAATGGACACTTGTAGAACACGCCATCCAACAGCAGAATACACATTCTTTTCAAGTACACACAACAATTAACAAGACAGATGACACTGAAGTTCATAAACAAATCTCAGTAAATCTAACAGAATTCATGAACGTAATGTGACCACAGGCGAATCAGTAATAAAAGTTTCTTGGGACATCCCCAGATGTTTGAAAATTAATTACACACTTCCAAATAACCATGATACAGAGGAAATCAAATGAGCAACTAAAATCATTCTGAACTGAATAAAAATGCAAACACATCATATCAAAATTGTGCAGTTACTAAAATAGTATTTTAAGAGGAAATACCCACTATTTAATACCCTTAATTTTTATTAAATCTCAAATTAATTACATCAGCTTCTACCATAAATCTTAAAAAGAAATACAAATTAAATCCAAAGTAGAAGGGAATACTGTCAAGCAGAGATTAATAAAAAGAGAAGATTAAACAAAAAATCATTTTTCAAGAATATCAATAAAATTGGTAAAACTACAGGTATATTTATCAGGAAAAAAGCAAAAGGCACAAGCTATAAATTCTACTGATAAGAAAATGATAATAAGGAAATTTATAAACAAATCTATACTAATAAACTTGACAACTTAGGCATAACAAATTACTTGAGAAACTCAAGTTCCCAAAGTTCACTCAAAAAGAAAAATATAACCTGAGTAATTAACAGCCTTTAGGAAAACTGAGCTTACAGTTTAAAACCTTCCCACAAAGAAAGTTCCAGACCCAGAGAGCTTTACTGATACATTCTACCAAAGAAAAACCACCACCAAAGCCACATACACTTCCAGAAAACTAAGAAGGAAGCAAACTTCCCAAGTAAATCAACAAGGCCAGCCTTATCAGAACACCGAAACTAGACAGAGGCATTACAAGAAAATAAAACTAATGGTCAGCATCTTTAGGAACACAGATGTTACATCTAGGATGTTCTAGGGAGCTCAGCACCCAAGTATCTCAGCATTACTGAATATTTCTCCACTTGAAAAATTTACAACCACCTTAAACTCAGTATGTTCTCTTAAATCTGCTCCTCTCTGATCTTCCCAAATCCACCAAAGGCATCTCAACCACTTACCCCAAGTAACTCCCTCATCACTCTCATCACTCCTACCTATCTCACAAGCCCTGTAAACTGTTCTCTAGTATCATTATTCCTATCCTTGACTACTGAAATAACAGTATGGTCTCTCTTCTCCCAGTCTAGCCACCTTCCAACAATCTGTGCAGTATGTAATCTATGTCAAGGCTCATCTTTATAAAATGCACATTTTATCATAATATCAGGCCTAAGCTTAAATTTCTTCTGAATCTACCCTTACCTATTTATTTATAAATCCTGATACTCCCCAACACACACAACTTTCTGGCCTCGAGTCATTCTGAACTCGTCCTGTCCCTGGACGTCCCCTGGACGTTTACTGTGTACACTCTCTTCTCTGCACCTGGAATACCATCTTGGTTCTTTCTTTGAGCAGCTTCTACTGTCTTCAAAAGAACATGAACAAAAGCATGCCTAGCCTCTTCCACCTACCCCCATTCCACCTAATCTGATTTAGAAGTTTCTTGATTCATGAGGCTTCAAAAAGTTCATGGATAGAAAATGAAATGGAAAGAGTATAGAATTTTTCCACAAGCCCCCTTTTGAAGGCTCCTCATAAATTCACCAGATACATGAATGACCAACTATATTCTGGGATTAAAGCATGCTAGCAGGGGAAAAAAACATACAACCAAAATAAAGTAACTAAATTAGACGTATCTACTAAATTAGTACACCAGAGTCTCTTAAACTTTTTCCACTTGCAACTAATCTTTACCTGAAATATTTCCAACACGAGTAAGCACTGTCACAGCACCTCAGATTCACTGTTTGATTTTAAATTAGTTTTTGGTGGCTGCACCATACAGAAGCCTTTAACTGTTGCCACATTTTTCAAAACTCCCGAGTTCTGTTACGTGACTCCGTTTTAAGCTTTGATGTAGACTAGAAATCAATGGTCATAGCAAGAGGGTGGTGGAGAACGCAAAGGGTCCTGAACAAGAGACATTTTTAAGTGTTCCTTCAATACATACATACTGAATGCTTAATGTGCCAGATAGAATAAGCTCCGAGGTTGGAATAAATGAGATTCAATTACTACCTTCACAGCACTCATCATCTGAGGA